TTCATTGGCCTGATGAAGGGCAGACTGATACAGACTTAAGGGCTATGACCTTGTAATTAGTCTAATGCTTTCATGAAAGTAATGTCTGTGAAGGTTCCTGTGCTATTAACTTCATAATCCCTTTCTTTGATCTGTCTTCTTATTTATACTGTTAAAGGGTGAATAAGCAGAAATTCCTATGTGCTTAGAGTCAAGTATGATATGTCTTTTTAATGTATGTATTTTGATGAATGAGATTGTAATAGGAGTAACAGCAGGTGGGGTGAGGAGCAGATGAAATCAAATGACTGAACACTAATTAACTTTATTATGTGCAGCATTCCACTGAAATCAATGATATGAGAAAACACCTAAATGGTAGTACAATGTACCATTATTTTGTGTATTTATGTTATTGTGTGTTGGAATTAAGGTCCTCGGTTTACATTTGATATAAAGGTGAAACCAAAACAAACAATGAAAAAAATCTCCAAAAATGAAATATAGGTGTTCTATCTGTAGCGCTACCCCCATAGGAGCCACTGATTAGGATGGGTCATCAGTTCTTTGCCTCAACCTTTTTCCAAAAACCCTCAAGTCCCTCTAACACACCAGGTTGAGTGTACAAACATACAATATTGCAGGAAATCAATGAAGGTAATAATAAGTACCCAGTTGTAACAACATATCATCAAAGAAACAGGCACCAAAGCAGGTAGTAAGGGGCAAACTTAATATATTGTCATCCAAATTCATAAAAACTAGCTGCCTTGCTGTGTACCACATCTTACTTTTTACATATTCAAAACAGAAAAATGTTAACAGACTTCATTGGTATCAGGGATAACACCAAATATTTCATAAAAGCAATATGTAAGGGACCGCCCGGCGGTACCACTAGCACTCCACTGGTCGGATGTTCCCAGCGCACGGAGTCTAAGCCCCAGGGTACTTGTTCACCAGGGCCCCTGATGGTGGGGATGGACTTGGAGTACCCCAGGACCAGGTCGTGACCACTGAGGACACCCGTCAGTGGTAGGGGTATTCGCCAGGGGCTCCCACGGAGAGAGAGCCAGGTATGAGGAGGTCTGGAGACCCCGTAGAGAGGGACGGATGGATGGATGGATGGCTGAGTAGGAGCAGGGTCATACAAGCCGGGTCGGTAACTATGGGGACGGTGCGGTACAGAGCAGCGGGCAGAGAATAGTCGGGTCACACGCCAGGTCAGCAACAGCAGGTCAGATCCATAGGGGGCATACAGGAGAGAGGTCAGGCAAGCAAGGGTCAAAACAGGAGAAAACAGCAAGGTCAGGGCACAATCCGGGTCAGCAACTTACTTCAGACAGGTTCACAGGTTCACAGGATACAAAAGACCAAAAGGCACTGAATGACAGCTCAGGGCCGTTTAAATATCCCGCCCTGCGCTGTCATTGGTGCCAGGCGCGCGCCCCGCGGTCACTACTGCGCATGCGCGAACCTGATTGCCGCGGTCGGCCAAGTCCCGGCGCTCGCGTACAGGGAGGTGTACTGCGCCTGCGCCGGGACCAGCGGCGCGACGATCCCCGACATTGCCCCCCCCCTACGGGCAACCTCCGGATGCCCACCCGATCTCTCCACCACGGGTGATCACGAAGAAACTCCCGGACTAGTCTAGGTGCGTGACATTATGAGCCGGTTCCCAGGAGTTGTCCTCAGGACCATAGCCCTTCCACTTAATTAGGAATTGGGTCTGGCCCCCCCTTCTTCGGCACTTAAGGATCGTTTCCACCTCAAATTCCTCTTGTCCTTCGACCGTTATGGCCTCAGGGGGTCTGGATTCTCGTTCTGGGAAGGCATCTGGGACCACTGGCTTCAGCAGAGATACATGGAAAACTGGATGAATTCTGAATGTGGCCGGAAGGATCAGCTCATATGCCACTTCGTTGACCATCCGCTTTACCTGAAAAGGCCCCACAAATTTAGGTCCCAATTTTTTCGAAGGACAAAGCATCTTTAAGTTGGTTGTGGCCAACCACACCTTCTGCCCAGGCCGCAACGCCAAATCCCCTCTTCGTTTCTTGTTAAACTCCTTCTTATTGTCCTCTTGGGCCCGAGCGATGGCTTCCTGGAGTAATTTGTTATTGACGGAGAAGAAGGTCAACGCATCCTGCGTGGCTGGAACTGGGCATTCAGAGACCAAGTCAGGGAGAAAGACAGGGTGAAACCCATAATTCGAAAAGAATGGGGACTGCCCCGTTGCCGAATGGCTTGCGTTGTTATAAGCGAACTCCGCCAGGGGTAAAAGAGACAGCCAATCATCCTGCAGGAAAGACGTGTAGCAACGCAAGTATTGCTCCAGGGTCTGGTTCGTCCTCTCGGTCTGACCGTTGGTCTGAGGGTGGAACGCGGAGGAGAGGGACAACTTGATGTCCAGGGCCTTGCACAGAGCCCTCCAAAACTTAGATGTAAACTGGACCCCTCGATCAGAGACGATGTCCTCGGGTACTCCATGAAGTCTAACGATCTCCCGGATAAATATTTCGCGCCGTCTCAGTTGCTGACGGAGTCTTCCTTAGTGGCACGAAGTGAGCCATCTTGGATAGGCGATCAATAACTACCAGAATTGCTGTGTGGTCTTGTGACGGTGGGAGCTCGACTATGAAGTCCATCGCGATCTTCTGCCAAGGCCGTTCGGGAATCGGCAAAGGTCGCAACAGCCCCCAGGCTTTGCTCCTTGACGGTTTGCTCTTCTGGCAGATGGTACAGGATCTCACGTAGCGCTTGCAATCCTTAGCCATGTTTGGCCACCAAAACGAGCGCCGGAGAAGCTCCAGAGTCTTGACTGGGCCAAAGTGACCCGCCAGCGGGTGATCGTGGCAATGCCCCAAAACCAGGGTCCGGACTTCCTCAGGTACCATGATAGCATCCTCCTTCCACAGGAGTCCCCCTTTGTTCTGGAGGGATACCCCAACTGGGGTTGGTGTGGCCGTAGATGCTTCTATTAACTTGGAGCGAAGGTCCGACTGGAGCGCCAAGAAGTTCCCTGAGGACAAGATAGTGTCGGGTACCAGTTCTTCTTCGGAGTCCTCAAACATACGAGATAGCGCGTCAGGCTTCGTATTTTTTAGATCCGGGCCTGTAAGTAATATGAAAATTGAATCTGGAAAAGAACAGGGGCCCATCTTGCCTGCCGTGGGCGTAGACGCTTGGCAGTCCTCAGATATTCCAGATTCTTGTGGTCTGTGAAAATCAATATAGGGTGTGAGGCACCTTCCAGCAGGTATCTCCATTCTTCTAGCGCTGCTTTGATAGCCAGCAGCTCTCGATCCCCGATATCGTAATTCTTCTCTGCTGGGGTGAGTTTCCTCGAGAAGAATGCTACGGGATGGAGTAACTCTTTGGTGCCTTTCCGCTGAGACAGGATGGATCCTACCGCATTCTCCGATGCATCGACCTCCAAGATGTAGGGCAGGGCCGCGTCCGGGTGGCCCAGGATGGGTGCCGAGGTAAACAGCTTTTTCAGAGCTTCGAAAGCTTTTTGAGCCTCTGGTGTCCATTTGAACCGGGTTCCAAGTTTGGTTAGTTGGGTAATGGGGGAGACCAGACCCGAGAAGTTTTTGATAAACTTCCGATAAAAGTTCGCGAACCCTATAAACCGTTGGACACCTTTTTTGTCCGTGGGTTCAGGCCAATCTAAAATTGCAGAGACCTTCTGGGGGTCCATCGCGACCCCCGCAGTGGAGATAATCAGGCCTAGGAACGTGATGCTAGATTGCTCAAAGCAACATTTCTCCGCCTTAGCATATAACCCATGCTGCCGCAATCGCCCCAAAACTTTCGCCACATGTATCCTATGATCCTCTAGAGAGGGTGAAAAAATTAGTATGTCGTCCAAGTAGACGATAACGAAGACATCCAAAAAAATCCCTGAAGATGTCGTTCACAAAGTGTTGGAAGGTGGCTGGTGCATTGCACAGCCCAAATGGCATGACCAAGTATTCAAAGTGGCCAAACCGGGTACGGAAAGCAGTTTTCCACTCGTCCCCCTCTCTTATGCGTACCAGGTTATAGGCCCCCCTTAAATCAAGTTTTGTGAATATGACTGCAGCCTTTAGGCTCTGAAACAGTTCTGGTACCAATGGCAATGGGTAACGATTTTTTATCGTGACCCTGTTCAGCTCCCGGTAGTCAATACAAGGTCTCAGGGTTTTGTCTTTTTTCTCCACGAAGAAGATTCCCGCTCCTGCTGGAGAAGTGGAGGGGCGGATGAATCCCTTCTGGAGGCTGTCCTCGATATATTCCTTCAGGGCCCCCAATTCAAGCTCAGATAGGGGGAAAATACGCCCAAAAGGGATTTCAGAGCCTGGTAACAGGTCGATTGGACAGTCATACGGGCGGTGGGGGGGCAGAGTGTCGGCTCCCCGCTTACTGAACACATCCAGGAACCCATGATAGGCTGCGGGAATAACCTGTTTCAAGTCGGAGTCTCCTTCGGAGCAAAGGAGAACTCGGGGCCCCGCGGGGCCCGAAGTGCGACAATGTTCCCGACAGTATGGGGAAGGGAACGAGATTGACCCGGTCTCCCAGTCAATCTGGGGGTTATGGGCCCGCAACCATGGGAGCCCCAGAATGACTGGGAAAAGAGGTGATGCAATAGCGTCCAGGCGGAGGAACTCCTGGTGCTGGTTGGCAATGATAGTGGCAATGGGGGGAGTTTCCTGATTAACTACCCCCGATTTTATCTGGGAACCATCAGCCAAAAAGATGTTGAAGCCCTTCTGTCTGTGTTGGAGAGGGATACCCTGTTGGTGAGCAAACTCTAGATCCAGGAAACAGCTGCATGCCCCCGAATCAACTATGGCTGTCACCTCCACGATCTTTCCTGGAAGCTGAAAGGAGAGGGGCACTACTAAGTATTGCGAAGGACAGGTATTGCTAACAGACAAGGAAGAAAAACGGGTGCACTTACTCATTTTTTGAGGGCAGGATCGCACCATATGACCAGCTTCACCGCAGTAAAGGCAGAGGTTCTGGGCTCGTCTGCGCTGGCGTTCCTCCGGTGATAATTTAGGCCGTGCCAGACCTAGCTGCATAGGTTCCGGAACATCTCCTGGTGGTGGGTTCTGGATGCTTTGTCGGGTTGGTGGGCTGGGGCCTAGGAATGGACCCCAGGTATTTCCGCGACCCTGGCGGACCTCTCAAGCCTGCGTTCCCGCAGTCTTCGGTCAATCTTAATTGTCAGGGCAATAAGGTCTTCTAGAGACTCGGGAACCTCCACCCGGGCCAGCTCATCTTTCAAGGGATCGGAGAGTCCCATACGGAACTGGTGCAATAGAGCGAACTCATTCCAGCGTGTGTCCCCCCCATCCACCGCCTGAAATCAGAGGCGTATTCCTCTGCCGCCCGCCGGCCCTGTCGGAGCGCATATAAGGTCGCTTCGGCAGAGGCTGCCCGCTGTGGGTCATCATACAAGATGGCCATTGCTTCAAAGAAACTATTGACCGATCCCAGGTGAGGATCATTGTTTCCCCTTAGCCGGTGGGCCCAATCCTGGGGTTCACCCTGTAGTAGTGAAATAATGAATCCTACCTTCACGTTTTCGGTCAGGAAGGTACGGGGTTGTAGCTCAAAGAACAAGAGACAGGAGTCGCGGAATGACCGGAAGCGTGTGCGGTCCCCGTGAAAACGCTCCGGTAGGGGTACTCGGGGTTCTACCATAGGGAGCGGGGCGGAAGCCCCTGAGGCTGGCTCCTGAGCTACCAGGGCCGGGGGTGCAGAAACCGGGGCCTGTGGGGCAGGATCAGAAATAGAGCCAGTCTGGATGCGATTCTCCAGCTGCATGCATCTGTCCTGCAGGACCGTTACGGCCTGCGTCAAAGTAGCTAGGTGCCTGCAAATTTCCTCTAACGGGGAGGGCCCTCCTCTAGGCTCAGTCATGGCCTTTTGGTACTGTAAGGGACCGCCCGGCGGTACCACTAGCACTCCACTGGTCGGATGTTCCCAGCGCACGGAGTCTAAGCCCCAGGGTACTTGTTCACCAGGGCCCCTGATGGTGGGGATGGACTTGGAGTACCCCAGGACCAGGTCGTGACCACTGAGGACACCCGTCAGTGGTAGGGGTATTCGCCAGGGGCTCCCACGGGAGAGAGCCAGGTATGAGGAGGTCTGGAGACCCCGTAGAGAGGGACGGATGGATGGATGGATGGATGGCTGAGTAGGAGCAGGGTCATACAAGCCGGGTCGGTAACTATGGGGACGGTGCGGTACAGAGCAGCGGGCAGAGAATAGTCGGGTCACACGCCAGGTCAGCAACAGCAGGTCAGATCCAATAGGGGGCATACAGGAGAGAGGTCAGGCAAGCAAGGGTCAAAACAGGAGAAAACAGCAAGGTCAGGGCACAATCCGGGTCAGCAACTTACTTCAGACAGGTTCACAGGTTCACAGGATACAAAAGACCAAAAGGCACTGAATGACAGCTCAGGGCCGTTTAAATATCCCGCCCTGCGCTGTCATTGGTGCCAGGCGCGCGCCCCGCGGTCACTACTGCGCATGCGCGAACCTGATTGCCGCGGTCGGCCAAGTCCCGGCGCTCGCGTACAGGGAGGTGTACTGCGCCTGCGCCGGGACCAGCGGCGCGACGATCCCCGACACAATATTTGTATTGCATAATTAACAATCACATACATATACAATATCATTAAAACCTTACAGGTAATGACCCCACAGAAATATGGTCACTCCTTTTATAGAAATTTTACATTCCTTTGTAAATTCAGAAGATCAGTAATCCAAAAAGGTCAATGTGTCTCTCTTGATTCAAGTGAAACACGTTGACCTTTTTGGATTACTGATCGTTTGAATTTAAAAAGGACTGTAAAATTTCTGTAAGAGTAATGACCATATAACTGTGGGGGTTATTCCCTATATGGTTTTAATGATATTGTATATGCATGTGATTTTTTTTTTTTTTTTTTTAAACTTCTCTTTTTTAATATTGTAGAAGAGGGTTACATAACAGAGCCTCTGGGCATTCACTGGCTAGAGGTAAAACAACATAGAAAGTTTAAACCATCAAAACAAACAGTTGCTCAATATCTCTTACCATTATGGTAATAGCAGGCAAAGTCAGGAGAGAGTATAAGATCGAGTCACCACAAGCAGGACACCATAAGTACAGTCATATCGATTGGGGCATGGGAATTAAGATAATTCTGCTAAACCAAACACAATCCAGGAATAGGGGAAAGTGTCCTGTGGGTATCCAATAAAGATAAACATTCCTAAGAACAAGTACTTGCAGCTAGATGGGCAAAGCAGTGGTCTGTGTAGTCTCTTTTTCTCCCCCCTGTTGAGTTGCCATACTATAGTTCTAATCACGTAGGGTCTCCAGTGATCGTGGAGGATGACTACAGTCAGATACGTTAGCTTGTACAAAGGTATAACAGAGTTGACAAGTGCTTTCCAGCTAGATAAAGGGGGAGGCAAAACTATGATCTTCCTGGCATAAAAAAGTAACAAACTGAGTAATGTTCTAACCACTCTAGTACTGGCTAAGGCATTAACAAGACCCAGTAAACATAAGTCCACTGTACGAGGGATGTTAATGGTGGTTAAGGTGTAAATGAAACCCAGGACTTCCACCCAGAAAGTGCCTACAGTATATGTGGGCAATGCCAAAGAATATGCATGAAATCAGCAGCAAAGTCTCCACATCGCCAGCAAACAGAGGGTACTGACGGGTATATTCTATGAAGTTTAGACTTGGGTGATATAAACATATGTAGTATTTTAAATTGCGTTAGACTATCTCTGGTTGCCACAATTGGGAAAGAGGGTAGTCCCAAATGTCCTCCCAATCCTCACCATCCAGCTCAGAGACCTCGGTGTAGCAAGCGTGCACACAGAGACGGACGCACCCTTCCATTTTGTTAAGAATTCTCCATGTCTCCCCTCATTCTCCCCCTCCCTCTCTGAGAGCCACAGTGATATCTGGTCGGTGTGGGTGTTGGAAGTGTCACAGGCAGGCCAGAACCCAGCAGGGAGCCCAGAGCTATACCACCTCTCTGAGCTGAGCGTCTGGGTGTCTAAGAAAGCCGTGCAATCTAGCACATCGTAAAAGATAACGCAAGACTTCCCAGGAGTTCAAAGACATTCCAGAGGAGCACGAACCAGATAACATTTTAAAATCCATTTTTCCCCTATGTCTCATATCTTGGAATATGAGAGACTTACAAAAACCAGGCCTATCTTCAGATTGCCCATGAGAAGACAAACAGTTTGATAGGTCACACTCCCTGACTGGAATACCTAGGAAAGCAGAAAATTACATCTCTGGAACCCTTCAAATATATATTTCATATTTCATATCTACCCGTTCCTCGGATGCATCTGCATAGTAATGTACCCGCGGGTGGAGTGTCACTTGTGCATAGGGAAAGTTATGAGCCAAAATATAAACTATAAGGGATTTTGGCTCTAGTTTCAGTCTACGCCCAGACCTTCCCTCCCTAAACGGGGCATTGGTCCTTGACTTCAGAGACACCCCCTGCTAGAGAACTACAAAATGGGCTGTCAGGCCTAAGAGAGTTAAGTTGAAGAATTCTCCTGTTTAACATCAGAACCAACTTGGGAGACAGCCCTTTCACTCTGAAACTTGATCTGCAAACCCAAGGCTGATTGGCAAGTACTTTAACCCTTTAACCTCCTTTCTGTTACCTCTTTGCTGTGCTAATGTTCTCTATATATTTATATATATATTGGTTACATCTTTTTTATGTAAATATTTTTATTGCACCCTTTTGACCTTTTAGTAATAAACCATTCCTTCTGAAAGTTTTAAACTGTTTATATAGCTCGTTAATGCAATTTACGAATTCCTGCCTCTAAAAGAGCGCTACTGTGTTTGTTTAACCCTCTGTATAACCGGTCTGCGGTGACAGTGTTATACAGACGATTATCTCAACCATCATAGTGTTATTGCTGAGATTGCTGAGTTTCCTCTTTCTCTGTACAAAAAGGAGGTGGTGGTAGTGTGAAGGGTTAATTGCGTAATTAACCTGACCCAGTAACAATCGCTCCCAGGCTGCCGGTACATCGATTGTGGTCCAATTAGCTGGAAAATCGGTGTGCAGGGTGCAGCTGGGCGTGGCATTGCTACGCACGTGACATCGCAGTTTTAGATTGGCTAGTCCTTCAGTCACGAGTTTGGTGAGAAGGTCAGGGGTCTGACGCCGTGTTCGTCACACTCGGCTCTCCATTTTGCCTGCAAGGAGTCTAGACCCGCATGTACTGATGGTAATAACTCCTTGTAAATGGCTGAACACGGCTTTTTAAGAGAGGAGTCACAAAGGAGGGACTCCACTTCATCAGGTAGGAGATGAATAGGTTCTGTACCAAATTGAGACTGAAAGGCATGGCAAAGTTAGAGAAACCTGAAAAAGTGACAATTGGGGAGGGCGTACCGCAATTTCAGCTGATCAAAGGTTGACAGAGTGCCTCCAATACAGATATCATCTAAGTATTTGATCCTCTGCAAGGCCCAAATGGAAGGCTCCAGCAGGGATTGGAGGGAAATTCAGCTAGATTGGGATTATACCACAGCAGGGTATAAGGAGAACAAAAGACAGAGGTAGAAGAACACTGGGGCATGGTCAATCGCCAGGCCCTAAGGACTGCTCTCATAGCTAAGGTAAGGAATGGGGCCGTGGCCTTCTCCCCCCCTATATAGCATATAAAGTACAAATATTCAAAAAGCGACCACGCTCAAACATGAATTCATGAGTCACAACATTGGCAGGATTGAGCTGTTGACCCTCCACTGGGCAGTGGCATAGTCAAGGCCTTTGAACCATAGATAACATATAGTTAACCCTTTGTTTAGTTATATTTATATACTGGACCCATCTATCCAGTAGCTCCCTAGGGTGTAACATGATAGATAGATAGATAGATAGATAGATAGATAGATAGATAGATAGATAGATAGATAGATAGATAGAAAGATAGATTTTCATTCTTTTCAAAATTAGACAAAACATTATGTGGAGAAATGTGTACAATTGAAAATAGAGATTGTAAAAGAAAGTGTACTCTATTCCATTTTGTATGCTTGGCTCATGTATTGCACACTGCACTAATAATGTTTTGATTATGTATTCACATTCTTTTAGACTCTGACAAGAAAATAGCCTGCTTGTGTAGCACCCCTTGTTACCTTAAAAATACAATTGCAACATTAAAGTGGAACTTTACCCATAACAACTTGACAAAAAATAATGTTCTTTAGCAAGGAACGTACATTACATTCCACATTAATAATTATGCTACCAAAATTAGTGTGTGCTGTAAATTGCCTCCAGTATTGCTCCTGTTTCTTCAAGCTGGAGGCTGACATTTTGCTGAAGCCCAGAGCCCCTGAACAGCAGCTAATCTAAAAGGGGAACTAAACCCATCAATTTTACAGTTTAAAAAATAGTTACATTCCTGGAATGCGGGGATTGCTAACTGTCAACTAAACTCTCAACTATCAAATGGCTTGTGTCATAACTGATTACATGTGCAGCACCGTGACAGTTGCAGATCAAATAAAAGCAGCTTCCTTGGCTGTAAAGAATAGGAGGGTTTAATTCCGCTTTAAGATTGTCAACAGATTGGCCTCTACAAATTCAGCAGTGCCTAAAAATGCCTAATAATGGAGAGCAGCTGAGCATGTGCAGAGCATTGTATCACTGGATTTTAAGCTGTATAGACACTTGTTTTTAATGTTTTACATAGCTATACCTGAAAAAAGGGCCAGCCTGTAGTCATCTAGCAGGACTTAGTTTCCTGACTAAAGTTCCACATACCTACGTAAGCTTGGTTTAAAATACTTCAAATGCGCTGAATAAACAGAACAGTTATTTGTGTCTGTTCCCTACTGCAGTAGTTATTAATTTGGAACCACTAATAATTTTTGAGGATAGGAATTATCTATCTATAAAATTTATAAGACAGTATACATGCCATCTAGTGTCACGCTATTAGGCTTCCTGCATTTCCTACTAGAAAAGTCTTAGCAAAATGCGTACAAAAATTCTCAGAACATTATTTTGTTGTTCAAAAACATTTGCTTGCTTTTAACATTTGATTGTGAAATGAATAGACTTTACTGAACAAAAACCACATACACCATTAGATTTGTTCAAGAAAATGTTTTCATCCTGCTCCTTCAAATTGTCTCGTCACTGTAGTCAAAAACGAACATTAATTTGACCACACTAACAACTAGAAAAACAAACAAACTTTCTTAGAATCTTCTTTTCCCAAGAATTTTAATTTGAGATTCCTCTCATCTACGGCCA